GAGGGCCGGTGTGTCTGCAGGGTCTCCAGTCCTGGTCCTGGAGGGCCGTGTGTCTGCAGGGTGTCCAGTCCTGGTCCTGAAGGGTTGGTGTGTCTGAAAGGTGTCCATTCCAGGTACTGAAGGGAGGGGCACCAAAAGAACTGGAAGAAGCTGTTAAAGAAATTCAGAGTGAAAACCTGTAGACTCACTGGTACTCCAGGACCATGACTGGATTATTAACTGAGGGACATACAGGAATAGTGTACACCTCTCCAATGCTGAGACAAGGGTTTCTTACAATGGTAAGAAAAATGGATCAATACTTAGAGATTCCAAAAGTTGGGAAAGATTGTCCAACAACGTTAAAAAACAATTGGTTTCTTTCCTTTGTTGTCCATACACTGTGACTGTCCTGTGGGACTCTTAACTCTGGTTCTGTTCTTTATAAATCAATATCCAAAAGGTTACCATGGCAATTTGCTTGGATGGACAGGCCAAAGCAATTAAGAGCCCATCAAAGTGCAAATCTGCCTTAGCACAACCAGTACAGTACAAGACTATAATAATCACATTTTAAGTGTAATGACTGTTAGTTTCTCAATGCACAAGAATTGTACTGAACAGTTATTTATCAGTTTGTTGCAAGGAGATGTGTGGGGCCACGGGACCGTTGCAGATGTGTTTTCCGCTTGGTGTGAACAAAACTATTTGAAATTGATTTCAGGAAGGATTTCAGGAAGGATCCCCAGACTCAAATGTCCATCAGGGGCGAATCAGTGGAAATGTAGATAAATATATGTGTTTGGGAACTTTCCTGGACTGCAAACTAAATTTTGAGGCAAACGTTGATTCTATTTTCAAATAAGGGCAACAGTGTCTATTTTTCTAAAGGAAGTTTAAACACTCTAAGGTTCAAACATTTATTGTTTCATCATTCTTTTATTGAATCTGTTTTAATCTTCACCTTGATCTGCTGTTTTGGGAATCTGAATTTGAGCAGTAAGAACAAACTGTGGAGTGATGTCAAACTATGTCAGAAAGTCATTGGTGCTGATCTTGCCTGTCCTACATCTATCAGTTACATTTAAGTTCCCATTTATACCTGTGGCTATAACCTTGCTTAAAACTAATTATTTTGTGTATTCACATTTGTAATGTTTGTTTGTGGGTTTACTTTATACTGTATTGTCTGCAGCTGTAACAATAATTGCCCTTTGGAGATAATAAAGACTCGGTAAAACAGCATCAGACAGGATAGGGGAAATACAAATTGTGGAGGTTATATCTGATTCATGTGGCAGCAGAAAACATAATAAATACAGCCAATAGCCTCTTGCTTAATTATTGATTATTAACACAGCTCTTTTTTTCAGTCATCCATCTACGTTTGTTTTGCAGCACATACTTTTCTCTCAGGACATTCTCTTCAGGGTGGAAGCACAGTTTGCCTTCTGCAGAAATCAAATGTGGGCCCATGGACAGAGCCCTTGACTTCATAGTGTGACTGGGAAGATACTGAAAATACTGGCACCCGGTGATTTATTGGTTTTAGCTGTCCTAGACCCTGCCGAACCTTGGTGTCAGTAATGTTAAAAATACCCCTCAGACTCTGTGACGTGGGACCTGTTATTAACATCTATAGCAAACATCTTCGTCAGATACACACTTAGTAATCTTCCATTATCAACTCAGTGTTACCTCATAACATTATATTAACCTTTACAGCTCTTTGTATTGTTGTACTGAAAAACGCTTAGCTTTATTTCTTGTTGCACCAGTCTTCTCTGTCCTGGCAATTTATGTATTTTTGCAGCTGAGTCTGTAGCTCAGTCTATACAGTTTACACAGTCTCCAGAACATTCTCCTCCTTCTGTTTTTTCCCTCCATTGAACGGGTCAAGTCAGGGATGACTTAGTTTGGAGCCATTTATGATTCTGAAGTACTACCATCCCACTTCTGAACTGTGTGCGAGCTCTGCCTCATTACCTTGTAGTCTCCTTTTCCAAAATTATAAACTCTTATTATTATACAGTTATAATGAGAGTTTAAAATATAATGAACCAACTATTATATAGTTCAACATCAACATTAACCCTTTCCACATTATGATCATAATTCCTCAATAGTTCAATCACATATTTTCCATTAATTTGGTCCACATTGCTTGAAAATATAAGTTTAATAAGACTTTCTTCTTGGGTTAAGAAATTACTATTTCCTCCCTATCAGTGTCAGCTGCTGTTTTCCCCACAGTATCACAGTATAACATTCCTCCCTTGCTCTCAGGCCTCAGACGGGGTGTCACCTCTCAGCAGCCCCATGACCCTCACAGGTAGCCTCACAGCAGACGCTGAGCTTCAGTCGTCCTGTGGCCACAGGGCTGCTCTCCTCCTGGAGGTTCTCATTCTGTGGCCACTGCGCCCCAAGTGTGAATGCGACAGTGGGGTGCCGCAGTTCTGGAGTTTGGTGTATGTAGGCAAAAAGAGGGGTAAACAATTGAATTACGTTGATTAACATGATGCACTTTCAAGTATTCTAATGCTAAACCCCGTGATTGATGGAGCGAGTCGAGCGACCGTCACTTCGATCCTTCTAGTTTCTAGAACAGCTGTTAGATAGCGTCTGAGTTTTGATTTGGAGCACATAAAAGCAATTGCCAGCATCTTTATTCAGCCTGTTTTTGTTAGTCACAAGTCTTTCCCTCCGTCGTAGGCCCTAAAAATTTCGTGGGCCCTAGGCCTTGTGCCTACAGTGCCTCATGGTATATCTGGCACTGGGGTGATGCCCTGTGGCCTGTGCCTCACAGAGCCAGTCTCCAGGATTCTCTGGACCAGTCTGGTGACTGTTGAAGATGAACATCTCAATCTCTGGGCAACTTCCCTCACAGACCTCAACGCCTTCAAACACACCAACAGTAAGCAGGACACCTTCATTATTCAGGGCAAAAGGGCAAGGCTATCTTTCACCATTCTTCTGTTAATTAAAACTATGTCTGTTTGAATGGCTAGTTATGCAGGTTCTTTCTGAATGGATTAATTTTGGTAATTTTAACTAAATTACCAAATTGTGAGTACATTCTTTTTATGAGATCACTTTGTTATCAAAAATAATCAATAACCTATATATTTAAAACTGTAAAACTTACACGTGCACAAAGAGCTATTGTTTTAAAACAATAGACTATCGTTGTGCCGTCCGGTATCAGTATATTTAGTGGAGACCATAGTAGGTTTGGTCTCAGCAATATTGTTAATGTCCAATTTACGCTTCAAGTCTCACCTTTAACCACAAGGTGGCGCTGTTGCATTACAGACTCTGATCTGGCGGTCAGAGTCTGGAGCGGCGTCAGAGCATTATGGCTGTAAAAAAAGAAGTAGAGGCTAATTCTGCTTAGATCCTCAGAAACCCCTGTAAGTACATTACCTGGAGTCAAAGTGAATGGAAGATTAGTCAATAGTGGGATTTATTCTTCCCTGACTCAACTATCAAATTAAATTGCAGCTGCCTATCTGCTCAATTTTAAAACTGTAAAACTTACACATGTGCAGAAAGAGCTATTGGTTTAAAACATAGACTATAGTTGTGCTGGCATGAATTATGGCAAAAATAGAAGCAAAGTGCTTATTACTGTTATTATGATTCAATTATTCATTTTGGTGTTCTTCCAATTTTTCAAATGTCTGTAAAATCCATACCACTGGTCGGAAATGCTGCGTGAAAGTGTTGAGTAAAACTGAGGCTTGAAAATCACATGGTTTGGCAGCCAGTTGGATTTTTACCAAACTTGGGAAATAGTCAAAAGACACTGCCATATGCATAAGACCAAGGCAGCATTTCTATCTCATAGCATGATTAAAGCAATGACAAATTCCTGCTAGTGGTGGTGGTGGTGCTTTTTCCCCTAGATCAAAATTCTGAAATAATTTTAAAAATTAATTCAAAAATGCCCCAGAGGTGTATGGTGACAGAGGACACTGTACTTTAGGAGGTGACATTATTCAGATCCGACAAGACTGCAGTGGAAGGTTATGGAGGGTTGGAGGATCGTGGATCATCACAGAGGATTAGTGTCTTGTAGCCTCATCTACAACTTTTGGTCACAATATTTTGGTAGCCATATTACATCTTTTCATATTACATATGACGTGTCCTTCTGTACAAATGTAAAGTTAGTAAAATATCTAATGCAGATATCTAATGGTTAGTCTGGAACATACATACGAATATAAGTATAGAGCACCTAAAATGACCTTGCCAGTGACCTTTGGATTTTAAATGTGACTTCTCCTAAAGGCCAGTTCTAAAACTGGCCCATAGCTCTTTCGATGGTGCACACAGGGTCATGCTTCTATGGAGCTCTAGAAGTAAGTAAAGTCCATGCTTGAGCCTAGAAGCTCATCTCTCAGAGCTCACCCTGGGTTTCATAGGTCTCAGCAGAACAAAACTACATGACTCCTCCCCAGATGGGACGCTGGACCATCACAGGGTTACTCCTTGTGCTAGGGTGCATATGTGCAGTTAGGGGAACTGGAGAGAGTGTGGGTGAAGTACAGTACCTTGTTCAAGACTACAGCAGCAGTGTCCCCGGCAGGCACTTGGGCCCTTAACCTTGCAGAGCTGGAATCACTTCTCCATATTGCTATGGAATATGTATAACTTCTCCTGAAGCTCCTTGGTGCTTGCAATTAAATTTTGTGCTTCCTGTAGTGGTGCTGTATGCTGATGTATCTGGTTAAATTCACGATAGATTGATTAGCTTTGCACTCCAATGCCCTTTATATCTGGGGGGGTGTCATTCGCCCATGCTGCTGCTGAAGCTGTTCTCATTAACCCAAGCACAGCTGGCAATGCGTTTCATTTTGCTCTGGCGGCAGTGTGGGCTGAGGGAGTTTGGGTCTCCAGTAACTGGAAAAATCTTTCCCTGCAGCTTCCTGAACAATCCCAGTGGACCCCCCTACCCTGGACAAAAGAACATAGCCAGTCCCTAGCACTCTTCCTCCCAGTCTTTCAGTTCTGTTCCTGGTTCTTTTGTCCCCTGCTGATTGTCAAGCAGTGATTTCCCTGCCACCAGCAATCCAATCTTTGTTATAGTAATACAAGCACTGGAGTGTCCACGGCTCTCATATGCAAATAAACTATTAAAGTGGAATTATTATTGAACTTGTTTGGGGCAAATTGTTTTTAGTTTTCAATAGATATGAAATGTTGTGTAATGGGAATCCATGTGAGGGTATTTTAAAAGTTTTTGTTTAGTTTTATTTAAGGTAGATATTCACAAACGGAGTGTCCCTCTTTACTATTTTTAAGAGCAGAAGGGAACTCGCACATCAAATTGTGCACCACCTGTCGCATAAATTGAAAAACGAATATGGAAAACCAACATAACACACTCGATACACACGCATACAAGGGCCACACACTTTGTGTCCGAAATTTTAAAAGTAAAAGTATGTCAGCACTTTCAAAATCAGTTTCGTTGCACAACACAATAACAAAATCAATGAAGGAAATTACTCTTTCAGTTGAACAGCTGGTTGTGTTGCTGTTCAGATATAGGGTACAGTGTCCGTAAGTGAAGGGAGGGGACAGTGCCACAGCACATCCCAGTGGCGGGCAGAAGCACCAGCACTCCATGTGAGGGCTCCCAGCTCTCACACCTATATTTAGTGCTGTTAACTTTCAGCTATTTATATGAGGATTGTGCTTTTTTCTGCGAGGGTTCCTGGCACAGAGCGAGAAGGCCACTCCGGAGATGTGAGGAGGGGTGGCGGAATGAGTGTCCAGAGGAGCCTGGTGTTTATGGCCTTGACCTTGTGGGTTCTTGTTCCTGGCTCAGTTCTAGAAAAGCCAAACCCCAGTGAGGCCAGGTGGGGTGACGAGTGTAAAGGAATTAATAACCAGTGATTTCAGGCTCCTGAGATCTCTGCGGGCTGACCACCCCTCCTCAGATTGTGATGAGCTCCCAGACATCACCATCTTCATCTCTTGACCTTTTAGGGCCTCCAAGTTAAAAAAAAAACATGAAAATCTGAGAAAATCTGAGAAAAGTGATTCAGAGGACCAGTTCGGGTCCATTTTTAAAACGGCAAAGGTGTCACTGCCTTCTCCAGCCTGTCCCAGGTTCCAGATACACCACTGCTTTTTATGGGACATGGGAAAAACACTCACTTGGCTGTTGGGTTCTCATGATAACTTGGGGAAACACAGTCAGAGGATTTAGCATATTCATATTCTACCCAAGCTATTGTTTTACGGGGACTCTGCACTCTGTCCTGGGTTTCTCTTCTTCAGATGTGTTGAACAAACTGTTGCTTCCCTGCAGAAGTTTTTAACAAGCCAATGGTGCCCTGTATCAAATGATGTCAGTTATAACAAATTATGTCTGATAACAGTGGTTGTTGTGTCATAGTTAACCTTTCAGAGTTTTCCCCTTCTCAAACTACAAAACAACAATCTAGCAGTGCTGAGATTAGGGAGGCTGTAAAGCTGGGTTGTTTGTTAACCCTTATTATTATTATCTGCCACTTATATCGAAAAAAAGGCTTACAGGTACCAGACTGAAGTGGAATAGAGCTTATAGCACATCACAATACCAGATACAGGAAGTGTTTATCATCCTGGCTGAAATCAACACTTCTACCCCCTCACTAATCGCTGTTCCTAAAGGTCTCAATCTGATGGCGGCTCTCTGAGGCTTGTCTGTGAAGGTGTCCTGTCCTTTTCCTGCCCACTACTGTCTTTCTGTAAGGTAAGCCCTGGGTGGGAATGTGCAGTTCATATAGGAGCCCAAGTCCGGGCTAAGTCTGCACCTGAGTTTTTCACAGGCCGAGGGACACCTGGCCATTGAGACGAAAATAGCCTGCCTAGCTGAGGGGGGTGTTGAGACCCAGCTCTCGCTAATTTCTAACCCTGCGTAACTTACTCTAGCCTCAGAAATGCCAGAAAAAAGCAAGAAGCCCAATTAAAGGGCTCAGTAAAGGAATTATGTGTCCATTTGGAACACAATCCCCAAAGTCAAAGTAAGACAGTACGCTGTCTCTGAAAATTGTCTTTAGATTTGATTGCCCTGTGTGTTGAGAATGGAAGAAAGGAGTAATAACAGAGTGCACCCCTCTGTCTTAATCTACAGAAGACAACCGTATTGAGATGTGAAAAAGTCTTGTAACTATGGTCATGATGAAAGAGTGTCTGGTAGAATTGGAAGATGAATAATTAAGAAAGAAGTATAGTTTAAACCAGTAGTTAAGACACAGAAAGACTGCAAACAAGAGGCTACACAGTATTTGACTCTTAGTTCTCTTCTGGTTGCTTGTTACTTACTAATTACGACTGAAGAGATTCAGTTCCTTTAAATCTTGTAAAGACATTATAAACTACAAATAATACATTAGTTAATAACCTTTACATGTGAGGCTTATATTTGTTATTGGGATCCCGTCATCTCATTGGAGTGCATATTTTTGATCAAGATGGTGCACTATAACATTAGAGGAAGATAATGCCTCCATTTAAATTAGTTAAACACAACCGTATAGGCACCATTAACTAGTTCTAGAGCCTGAATGTAGTAAAGCACAGTGGAAGCAGTGGAATTGTGGTAGAAGTGTTACATGCAGAGGAAAACCACATTAAAGAGCACAAGTTATAAGGGAAAACCTTTCAGAAGGGAAAACACAAGGTGTTGGGCCCCTATCTCTGCCACAGAGATGTCAACCTGCTCCAGGGGTGTTAATTAACAAAGGGGAAGGGACACACTAATGAGTTTTTCTTTCCTCCAGTGCTTCAAGCCGATTGCTTCCTCAAGCTCCCTTTCGCTCCCCTGTTCTATATATAGGGTTGTGATGCATCTGCAAGAAAGTGCCCATCTCCTGATCAGCCAGCACTGTACATCAGCACTCCGTGCTGTGCAGACCCCCCGAAGACCTGGATAGCACGCACCCTGTGATGTAGAGGGAGAGCCGCACTGGGCTCAAGGAATCAAGCACTTCCGGACTTACTGCTCACTTCAAGGAAAACTTTTGCCCCTTCTTTCACACAAGGATTCCTTAATCTAGGTAAGTCTGCTGCACAGACTCACTGATCACTAGTTGCTTGAGCTGTCTTGGAAGCTGTTGCGATGATGACAGAGTGCAGCAGCTGAAGACACCAAGGGAGAGTTTGCACCCCACAAGCTTCAGCTCTGCATTAGCGTGTTAAAGCCACCCTTTTTCTGTTACTTCATATTGGTTTGTGCCCAGGGGCTTGTTTATGAAAGGTGACTGCAGGTACGTGTTTTTTCGCTTTAAGGACTCATCTCACTGCATGGACTGTGCAGGGAATTTGCTGACCTCCCCACTTTGCTCCCTGCTCCAGATTTATATAGCTTGTTAAGCCAGGAATACCCATCTGGGGTAACCTGAGCCCCGGAGAGCTGGCCTGCCTTCATTCTGCGTAAGGCTTTCACTTTTCATCGACAGAACTTTGTGGGACATTTCAGCAAATCCTCAACACCGCGTGTCTGTGTGTGAACATGTGTGTCTGTGTGTGCATGTGTGTGCCTGCGTGTGCGTGCCCATTGTGTCATGTGTGTGTCAGTCCACTGCCAGCATCAATATCGCTAAAAGGTTGTGCTTTGATGGGAAAGTATAAAAATAGCCCTGAAAGATAGAATTACCTTCAAGTCAATGCAATACAATACTTAAGATGCCATTGGAGAATCTGCAAAAGCCCAGATCTGTTTAACAGATTATACTGCCAAGCTCTTTGAATTCCCTTCAAACCTTAGCATATGAGGGCAGTAGGAGAGGCTGGGTCACTTTGAGATCATGCTGTGAAGGTGTGCCAAGGTGATTTTGTCTTCTAGCCTGAAAGAAAACAACACGATAATCTAAAGTCTAAATGTCAAAGCCAATATCTGCAACACGTACAGCACCAGAAGCAAATCCACTCGAATGGACCTGAACAGCAGCATACACCTAACAGATAACACTGTCATTGAATTACCAGGTTATTTTTTTTCTTTCCCTTCTTCATTTTAAATGAGGAAAACACAACAGGCAGCTCCATTCCAAGACTTAGGGGCTGTAGGCTTTTAAAAGAGCTAGCACCCCATTGAAGATTAAAGGAATTTGTAATTGAAACTGCTCATAAAATCTAATCATGGCTTAAAATATTTTAGAAATTGGGAGATGAGAGAATAGTCTTCTTTGAGTTTTTGTTGTCAAGTCTTGCTTGTAAGTACCTTTGTCAATTCAGATATTTGCACGCTGGACGTGAGCACTCTGGGTGCAGTAGGCCACAGCTCAGGCTGATCACAGGCTACAAGCGAGTGAGCTGGTGCTGTCAGAATAGTGGAGCGCAGTGTCACAGCCCAGCCACAAGGGGGAGGCTCTTTGTTTGTTTGGTGGGTGCTGTTCTGACAGCAGGCTCCAGGGAATATTGAAAAAGTGACCATGAGGTAAAAATAACTGTCTAAAAGTGTTGTTTCCATTGTACCACCGACTGTGCTTTGAAATGTAGGATTATGAGCAAGCAGCTCTGTTCTTTGACAGGTCTTTCTGCAGGTTCACAGGCATCATTAAAATACTTTTTTAGTGGGATTTTAATGAGAGTGAAATAAGTGATTAATAGATAAATCCACATACATTGCTTTGATACATTATGAGCAGCAGCAACACAAGAGAGTACCAAGAGAGTTCTGAACCAGTACAATATATGGGCAGTAATTTGCTTGCATAAATATCTGTTGAGAAAATGTGTAGTAAAACACAATCCATTGCTCAAGCCCACCTCTGCTTCCTCAGCCTACAGCCATGCCTCTGTCAGGGACCCCCGCCCCGAACAAGAGGAAAAAGTCCTCCAGGATCATTACTGAGATCACCCAGGAAGGTAAGGCACCTCGTGCAAGCTCGCTCTGTTCCAGCTCCACCATCGCCCCACGGCCTGATCACAGGCCTTGCCCTGGAATCAAAGAAGACATCGAAATCGAGGTGTGTAAGGGAAGACAAGAAACGGCTACGCTTGAAACAATTTAGCAGAAGAAGTCATTTATTGTCGTTAGCAGCTGTATCACCCTGCAACTCACAACTGGCAGCCCACTAAAGCTCAGCAGTTGTGAGCCTGGTCAGTACCTGGATGGGAGACCTCCGTGGAAAAACTATGTAAGTGCTAGCAAATGTTAGGGGGGCCAGCAGGGGGCGCTCACCCTGCGGTCCATGTGAGTCCTAATGCCCCAGTATAGTGTCAAGAACACTATACTGTAAAAAGGTGACGTGCTTTGGATGAGATGTAAAAGCAAAGTCCTGACTCTCTGTGGTCATTAAAAATCCCAGGATGTCTCTTGAAAAGAGTAGGGGTGTAACCCTGGTGTCCTGGACAAATTTCCTAATGGCCCGTACCAATCATGGCCTCCTATGAATTGGCTTCATCACTCTGCTCGCCTCCCTCCTCCTAATAGCTGATCAGCTCCTCCTAATAGCTGATTTGTGGTGAGTGTACTGGTGCACTACAGCTGCTGTCACATCATCCAGGTGGATGCTGCACATTGGTGGTGGTGGAGGGGAGTCCCCGTTACCTGTAAAGCACTTTGAGTGGAGCGTCCAGAAAAGTGCTATATAAGTGTAAGCAATTATTAATGTCTTCTGTCACTTGGAGTGTTGTGCTTTCCAGGGGACCAAGACAGGAGACCCAGCCTTTTCTATCCAAGCCTTTTTTATCCAGTCACAGCAAAACAGAAAAGATAAAACTTATCTTGCATTAACACTAAATGTTTTTTTTAAATAAAACAATTTGTTTACACCAAGCAATATCATATTTACTAGGCTTAACAGTTTTGCAGTTTACTTGCCAAAAGTCTGCAGACATACTGTATTGGATAAACATTAACTGCTTTTTATGGGCTCCCTCAAGTCATTTCTTTCTGATTTTGATTTACATTATGAAAAGTGTTAATCTAGCTGTTTCAATCCTTTTAATTCACCACTCTGTCAAGCCCCACACCACTGGAAGCAAGTACTCCACACACGCAAAACTGAGTCGTTTCTTAAAATTCCTCTTTCTTAAGCAGAACAGAGTGTTTGTGATGATTGAAGGGTACATGTGTTGAAACTGGAACTGATATTGAGCAGAAATCCAAGGTGGTGAATGTTTGTGTCGTTTTAAGGGCAGTTAACCAGTTTTCGGTGCACCAGTTATGATATTAACTTTAAAAGGTAAATGATATATGGAATAAGGTTCAGAAACCAGAGGAGGCAGAATAGTGTTTGCTAGATAGAAGAATAGATGCCTGGTATTAAGACACAGTGCAACACAATATAAGCCCGGCTGCAAAGGTAAATATGTGGGAGAAACATTCAGCAGAAATCCTAATTCTAAAGAGACACTGAGGAGAACCCTATCATTAAAGCACAAACTCTAACCAAACCCCTGTAGTGCACACAAGTGGCTGTCTTGCTTATTTTTGGTTTCTGGTTCTCATACATTCTTACCATGTCTTGTTACCATTCCATACGTCGGGTCAAATCACCAGGACTCTAATGGGTCCCATCTGGCTTACAGCTTAGCGAGACACAGACCAGACCCATAATGTGCCATACGGTACTCCCCAGGATTACCCACAGCAAAGGCATGTCTAGAATGACACTGTAACCATCTAATAGTGCAAGCAGAACAGGTGTACACAACACACAAGTACAGGAACAGCAATTGGCAAGAACAGGAAACAGTCTGGATTCTCATCATGCCCCTTCAGGCCCCTCTCCAGTTCCTAAGGCGCAAGGTCTTAAATAGCTTAGCTCATACAGTATGTTAAGGATACGGAAACAGGGTAAAATAAGCAAATTTACCAAATAGCTTTAGAAACAAACGCTGTTGGTTTATACAATATTTTCATGAGCAGCAAAATGTAAACAGAGAATGGAACCAAGCCTCCCTATAACATCTCCAAAACAACAGCACAGTTATCTCCAAAATAACTGTGAACTGACACAGAAATCTGTAGTTTTTTCTCATTTGTAAATGGTCACAGGGGACCCTATATCTCCTGGTATCTACATTAGCACTGAAATACAGAGGAAATTGCTGAGATGGGTGTCTCACATTTTGCAGTCCTTATTAAGTGCTTCCTACATCTTGTTAGTGTAACTAGCTTGAAGATAGAATAATAATAGTCTATATTAAGATTTTAATTATATAATGAGTTATGTTCATATAGTACCGACCGTGATGCATTGTATAGAGGCACTTTGCTGCAAAACAAAAGCAAAAGCATTAGAATGAATACATGTTTATATACCATAAACTAGCCAGAATTAATTGTGTTTTTAAAGACAGGATTAGAAAGCTCTGATTGACCCAAAAGATCTGATATGATAGCTCATTCCACAGTCTTGGAGCAACAGCATGGAGAATATGGTCTCCCAGAATGTCGCATGGTTTAAATCTGCACTTAAGTGTTGAAGAAAACAGAGTCCAGAGCACAAACGAGGGAGTATGAGCAATAAGCTTTAATGATGCTTAGTACTTAGATAAGGAAAATGAAAACTTCCATTTATAGACAAGCATACTATTTTTATATATTGGCTAAATAGTTAGGTAGGTCCCTTTTCAGGCCTTAAAGGCCCATGGGGAATAGGTGGCAAGGGGCCACCATTTTTCTTTGACAATCCAAAACTGGAGGTGGAGGTGATATGGTCAGCATCACGTTCCGACTGGCCTACTACCCCAAGAAGGATTGACTCCTGGTACTCATTTGAAAAGCAGACTGAGTGGACCTGGGACCCATCAAGAAGGAATTAGAGCAAGCTACCTCACTTGCCACTACTTTGATTGAACCTGGGACCTTCTGGTCAGGAGCTAGACCTGACACCCTAGCTCATCTAAGCTATCACATTACCTAAAGAGAGGTCAAGGAAGATTTAATGCAAGGAAAATTTAAGACTGAACAAAGTCATTACACAGAGGCCCACTCAGTGTCATTTTATTCTAGACTCAGTAGAAGAAACTTTCTAAGATCTAAAGCACAGTATAATGGAGTCATACTGGGGTGTGAGCAGTGCTGTGCTATATTAAAATGTCCAGCATTCACACTGTGATGATAGTAGTGTTTTTGTTGTAATACAACACCACACACAAAATAGAACAGACACCACGATTAGGTAGCTTGGCCTTGTGTAACTCTAAAGTTCTGATACTCTTGTGAAGGTTAACTCCTTATATCATAGGCTTGTGGACAGGACTGTGCTTTGAGCACATTGCAAATGTCTTCTGATCATTTGCCATGACCGAAGTCAAGGCATGAATGCATAATAAGACAAACCCACCAAAGCCGGGAGTTTGTCAATTACATTTTGCAGATTTTCACCGCAGTTTTAGGTATCACAAGTAGAAGACTTTTTTTTGTCCTGTAAAAGGTGATTTAAGTATTCATTACTGAATGTGTAGCAGTAGATTATAAGGAAATTGATCTACAATTTATCTGCCTTGGTGATCCACAGTATCAGTTAATTTTCTATCAGATATTTCCTTGCTGATAAAATATTCCTGAGAAAAATGTGCTGAGAGAAAACAGAAAGTTCCCTTACAAATAATAGAATTCTCCAGAATTCTGTAGACTTTATGAAGGAAACATGCCACATGCTGTGTCACCAAAGATCTTCTATAAAGCTAGCCCATAGTACTAGGTCCATACGTGTGTTATTGAATTCCATACAGAATTATCTCTGGAAATACTAAAGTACCACATTATTTTTAATTCTGTACTTAAATGTCTGCTGTCTGTTGGTTTTAGGCAAAGATCAGACTGAACATGAAGGAATTTCTCATCATTCCCAAGCTTTTCAGTAAGCCGACACATTTCAATGAGGTGCTGTTATTAAAACTCTTAACAGTCTATTATCCTTTCAGTACAACCAAAGCCTTTTTGCTTGTATAAGCATGAAAATGCAGACTTCTTCTTTAAAGGAGACATCCAGACACTCATTACAGTCACAAAAGGATATTTATAGCTTAGTTATTATATGTGCTGGAGACATCGTCATGTTTTCACAGCCTGTGTCAAAAGACAGTATATCTGTGAGCACTAATGAGTTCTGTGTCACTTACCTATAAATTCTTGTAAGAAGAAAGCTTTTCTTATTATTTCCAGCCATGGGTCATGTTTTCTGATACATCTTCAGACTCTTTGCCCAAATGCACTATGGCCTGTACTCATATTGGGGATCCCATTGTGTCCCTCCAAGATGGTAGGTGGTTCCTACAACTCTGTTAGGGATTTGGTAATGAGACTTATTTTACCCAGAAATAAGACTACTAGGAAGCTCTGGGTTGCTGTGACCCTTACAAGGAACAAGCAGCTTTCTGATAATTAATAGATGACACTTCTGAAGCCAATCAGATTGTTGTGTTCACAGTTCTGACATTTGGCTCCAATAGTCGCCTTCACACCTCTCAAAGCTGTGCTCATTGGCAGACACAAGCTAGTGTTGTGTTAAAACAGAAGGACATTAGTACAATGAGACAGTGCCAGTACATACTGAGAGCTGGGCTGTGTTTCACTATGTAATTAATGTATAGATGTCTCTTTCAGAGCATGTGTTGGGAACTGTCGGTCAGAGATCATTGGGAATCTCACAAGGCGCTTTACTGACTGACTGAGCTCTACCAGGGCTGTGTGGGCTGCTTGTTGGCTAGATGTGGCTCTGCGGCAGTGATCCCTATTACGTGCCAGGCTACTGTGAGTTGGCAATGTCCTCCCTCTGATGCCTTAACCCTGCTGTTGCCATTGTGAAACTCCCTCCGTAAAAGAACAAGCAGCTGGCCCGACAAGGGCCCGACATGGCACCTACGGAGAAGTCCCGTAGGCTGTTTCCATTTCGTCTGTGCTGATAGGAGGGCTGTTGTTTAGCCAGGCTGATTGAGAACCATCAGTTTCTCATTGGCAGGGCATGACAGAAAATACAGAAAAAAATGCTAAAGATTGAATCATTAAGTTCAACCAATATTTTCAGCATACCTCCGTGCAGCTCAGATGGTCCTTTGGCAGCCCTTAATCAGGGGCACGTACAGTAATTATCTAGATATGGTCTGCCTGAAGTTTCCTGATTGACAGACACATCAATGTAATACTTTGTTCTCGATACAATGATCTGTCAGCCAATCAGGCACCTGGGGCTGACAGCTCTGGCTACTTAAGACTGAGTCAGCAGCCTCACTAGTTCATGCCTGGGCTCCATCTGAGAAATAGCAATAAAAGTCCTTTGTTCATCCTGGTTCAACTTTTAGTTGCTTGTCCTTAATATACACCCCTGTGCTTCATTTTGTTGTGCAGGCTCTCTCAAAAGGTTCCCTTACAAACACAAGGACAGTATTCGACAGACTTCCCATCCAATGTCTTGACCAAGAAATGGTATGCCCTGAGAGACAATAGGGGCGATCAGACAGGTTTCAATTTTGAACTGAGCCAGGCTTTGTAAGGACAGAGATCTGCTCAGGCAAGAATAATGGAGCTTTTCATTGCATCCTGAGATGTTTTTGTGAAATTTGTTTGTCTTTGTTAAAAAGGTGTTGGGGAAATTAATGTTTAATGTGGGAGACATTCATACTGCCTCTATATATCTTTATATTTTACATTGTATTTCATGATACATCACCTCAAGGTACTTTGCAGTGAAATGAAAGAGGCAAGCATACACACTAAATATTAACACAGTAGTTTAAACAGAATGAAGCTGGAGTTTTAAGATGGGATTTGAATGTGCTGACTGATTTGCCAGATAGAATATGATCTGGGAGATCACCTCTTTATCTTCAATTGTGAGAATGTGGGCGCTTAGCTTTTTAAAGTGTGCATGAAGCAGAGGTCATAGCTGCTTCATGCACACCAGATCCACCAGAGGTAGTGGAAACCACTTACTCTTACTTTCTCTCACATCATTAAAAATCACCATAACAACCCCAGACATCTTTTCTCTACCATCAACAGCTTGCTAAAGCCAAACTGCCACACCACATTGCCTGCCTCATCACAACTTGGCAACACATTCTTAGATTTTTTTAGCTCCAAGATCGACAATATCCGGCATCACATTCTCTCCACTACGCATATAATTTCCATACCTCCTCCCTTCTTATGCAACTTTTCTGGTTCACTTCTCTCCAGCTTCTCTCTTTTTGACTCAGCATCCCTCAATAAACTAGTTACACACATGAAACCCACATCTATTTTAGATCCCATTCCCACCACTTTATTTCAGTCCTGTTTCTCTTCTCTCTGTCCCATTGTCCTCAATATTATAAATGAATCCTTGAGCACTGGCATTGTACTAACAGTCCTCAAAACTGCTGCCATTACCCCTGTGTCAAAACAACCTAACATGGCTCTCGACAATCTTAACAATTTTTGCACCATCTCCAACTTACCCTTTCTTGCAAAAATTCTAGAATGTGCTGTCACATTTCAGTTACATACTGTAACTACCTCATGGCAAATAATGTTTTCAAACCCCTCCAATCTGGCTTCCATCAACTTCACAGCACAGAAACTGCACTGATCAAAGTCACTAACGATCTTCTAATAGCTTCTGATTCTGGTTCTCTTTCTATACTCATCCTTCTTGATCTCAGTGCTGCTTTTGACACTGTTGACCATAACATCTTACTTTCTTGTCTTGAGACTGTGTTTGGAGTTTCTGACACTGCTCTCAAATGGTTCAAGTCTTACCTCACTGATTGCTGTCACTTTGTCTCTCTTAATGGGTATAGGTCTGAAATTGGTCTTGTTAAGTCTGGTGTTCCTCAGGGCTCAATACTAGGGCCCCTTGCTCTTCAGCATTTACGTCAGCTTTTAAGATCACATGGCCTCAGCTATCATTTCTACGCTGATGATACTCAAATATACACCCATACGAAACCTGACACTGATGTGGCTGTCTCTATTCTAATTGCATCTCTGACATAAAAACTCGGACGACTCAAAATTTCCTTCATCTTAACTGTGACAAGACTGAAGTCATGCTTATTGGCACCCCCCATCAACTTTGTAAAGCCAATCACGTAACCCTATCTGTAGATCGTTCTGTACTTGAGCTTCAGTCTAAATTGAAAAACCTTGGGGTGATATTCGATTCTGGCTTAACATTTGACCCACATGTGCAGAATATTGTCAAAACATCTTTGATCAAGCTGATCAACTTGTGTTCTCTCAAATTGACTGCTGTAATGCTCTACTCGCTGGGGTATCTAAATCTACTTTGAACAAACTGCAGTATGTCCAAAATTCAGCAGCCAGAACCCTGACCAGGTCTAGTACAAGTGATCACATTATTCCTATCCTGGAGACTTTAAAATCCACATGCTCACCTATAAGGCTCTGCATGGCTTGGCACCTCATTACCTTTCTGAACTATTATCGCCCTACTCCCCACCTCGCAACCTTCACTCCTCTAATTCTGGTCTCCCAAGCCCGTCTACATTGTATGAGTGACCAGGCCCTCAAGCTCTAGAACTCTCTGCCCAAGGATCAGAGAGTCACCTTCTCTAAACTCCTTAAAATCCAGACTCAAAACCTTCTTCTTTAGAAAAGCCTTTACTTAACTGGTTCCATTCTTCACCCCTCTGCTTTTCTTAGTACCACCATCCACGGTCTCCTCTGTATAATGTAATTGTGTTTTATTATTTATTTTTATTTATTATTGTTGACATTCTGTAAAGCGCTTTGAGAAGCCACCTTTAAAGGCGCTATATAAAATAAAGTTTATTATTATTATTATTATTAATATTATTATTATTATTATTATTATTATTATTATTATTATTATTATAGCTCTGGACTGAACACTATTTTACTTCCATTGACATTGAGTTATTTTTTCTTGTGTCTAGCCAAAGTGCATCAAACTATTTTTCTCCGAGTACCTAACAGTACCATTACCTCTTTTTTTTACTGCACTAGACTAGGATGCAATCACAATGATTTCCAGCCATCTGTCTCTCAGCCATCTGAAACTGTGCTGTGTAGTTTAGAGATCAAGCAGACAGAACAAAGTGTAGGCATTAGTTCCAGTGAGATCTGCTGTGGCTGTGTTCCATCATTCTCTCAATAAAAAGCTTCGACACGGAGGTCTGAATGTTACTGTACTTGTGATGTTAGACCAGTCAAGGGTTGCCATTAGACTAGGGAAAAGGATAGTATCTCTGCTATATGCTGATAGTATTTTTGTCTGCGGGTTGAAAAGGAAAAACAAGGTCAGTTTTCCCTTACAGTTAAGGTTAGAGGCACTGTGCTGCTGTCCCATCTGTTAACACAAGGTTCCTTGTGTAACAGGGGACTCCAATGATGCACAAGCAGGTTAAGGAACAGGATGGGTTTTACACAAAGGGTGTCCAGCGTCATGGTTCATTGCAGTTTACAGTATCTGTTTTGTCACAGGTTACAGCAAATAGGATGCAGGTGTCCTGGTATAGGGGATTCAGGTGTACAGGACCTCCACAGCATGCTGCCAGGTTTAAGGAAACCTGCCACAAACACATGCAATCGCTCAGCTTAGTTTACTAGTTTAGTGCTATTGAAGAACAAGAAGTCTTTGTAGATCATCACACAGATTCACAGGTTAAGGCCTCTCCATAGGAGTGAAGTGTTTCTCCTTTTTCAGTTCTCCCTGAACTGTCAGCTGGTGCCGGGGTGAAGCACTGACTGCCCTGGAGCTTGTGAGGGGCGTGCCATTGCGTCAGTGAGCTCACCTGTTCCACACAGTGGGCATGGTCTGGGAGAGATGAGGTCATGCTATGCAAACAAGACTATCAGGAACTATCTGATCCATACACACTCACCATAGAGATAGCACATCTGATAAGTGAAAAAAACGGAAAGACTGATAGAAGTTCTAAATATGCTCAACCATAATTTGTCTATAATCTTCTTGGCTATCATGACCTACAGTGTGACCATCTGGTGTGAAATGGGCACACTTACATACTTTCACAATATGTGAAAATTTTAGATCTACGTTGACAGTCCCATATGATTTATATTGAAAACATTTTTAAATCTATGGATACATATTTTAAAGATGCAGTGGATTAATGTCCAAATGTTTTGCGGCTCTTTAATATGTGACATTTAAAAATATTCTATATATGAAGGGGCTCAACTCCCTGTAAAACGTTTTCTTTCTAGTTTCAGAGTGGAATTAACCAAATAATTTATACATATATGTCAAAACAGTTGTGCTTGAAATCTAGACAAATATAAAAAAATGTTTTTTAAATATTTCTTTTTGTAATAATTAATGCGGATTTCAGGTCATTTTTACTTGCACTGCCATGTGTCAGTGTGAGTCTAAAATTATTCGTCCTCTGTCCAGTGAGACAATCAGCACAGAGGCTGTTGTTAGCCCTGAGGACAACCTTTGGTCTTTTCATGAGAAGTTTTTATTCACATCAGTTATGGTGAACCAGCACTGTACAGAAGTGGACAAGGTATGGGTTGCAAGTCTGTGTTTCTCAATGAAAATACAAAACAACTTCCTTCAGGCGAGTGTGGTCTTTGTAACGATAGACCCTGGTTCATCCCTCAGTCTCTGCTGGTGTCTTCTGATAGAAGTGTCCGCTGGATGTTCTTGTCTTTTCCACACTGTCTCAAAGTTTCTTTTTGTCATATATGAGCCCCAGTGACCCAGTCCTCCTTCTCTCCCCGGTGGTCTGTTTGGTGGTCAGTTTGATCGGGCAGGACACTGACCATGTGCGTGCTGTTTTTGCCCCACAGTCCTGGAGCAGACAGAGCCAGAGGCATCCAAGCTCAACCTGGGGAAGAAGATCAGCACCCCCAAAGACATCATGCTGGAGGAGCTGTCCCTGCTCAGCAACAAGGGCTCCAAGATGTTCAAGATGAGACAGCAGCGGGTGGAGAAGTTCATCTACGAAAACAACCCAGACATCTTCACCGCCGACTCTATGGTGAGGAATCTAGGGAGGGCTGGCCTGCACAATCCCAGAAGCTCAGTGATGATGTTTATTAGTCAGGTCCTGTGCAGGTGCATGAAGCCCTTTAGAAAGATGACAGAAACATTTGTCTGAACACACTCCAGCAGGCAGCAATGGGGATTTCTGGACTCTGGTAGATGTGTTGGGTGCCAAGCAGGAGATTGAAAGTGTCCAGGATGTGTTTGGGGCTCTGGGGTGACGTGTGTCCAGTTCCTGCCTCCAGGGCTCTGGAGTGACATGTGCCCAGGGGGAGTGTCGGGGTGTGATGTGTGTGCTTTCTTGTTCAGGACAACTTCCAGAACCTGGTGCCCTCACTGGGGGGCGAAATACAGTCGGGCCGCAGCATGATGGACGTGGGCGGTTATCTGGTCAGCGGGAAGATAGTGGGCCAGACCGTTGGAGGCAAGCTGCAGCATCCTCCCGTTCCCCCTCCCAAACCAGGAGAGCACGGGAAGGGGGCTGGAGCGGGTGGAGCCGGAGGGGCAGGAGGGGCAGGTGGAAGTGGCACTGGGACGGCGGGCACTGTGCAGATCTCAGAGGAGCACGGTAGGCACCTTTCTCTTACAGAGAGCGAGAGAGGCTGTCCTCTTCCTCAGATCCTCCATACCAGGAGTCCCGCCAGTACAGACTGGCTTTTCTGCAGTCTCCTGGAACAGAGATAGACGTCTCGCCTGTCTTTTGACATGAGCAGAGGAAAGCAGCTGGGCCGCTGCTGATCTGACCCTCTAACAGTGTCCCAGCTGCCTCTTGTCTGAGACAAGAAACATCATCTTCTCACTCCCAGCTGAATAAGGAAGAAGCAGATTGCAATCATCCATCTATTCATTTTCTAACTGCTTTTTCCAATTCAGGGTCACGGGCAGATCACAATCATAAAAATCATATTTAATTTTCACAAAATTCTCCCTTAAAAATGCTCTATTTACATGCAGACATACTGTATTCCGATCAATATAAACTACAGGGGCTTTGTTTCCTCAGTTATTTGTGTAAGTGACAGGCTGACGTGTTAGTAAATAAACATTTATGCGCTTCAAGCATCAAAACAAGTGAGGGATCCAATTAGTGGTTTGCATTAAAAGGTCCCTTCTGGATTACACAGGGGAAGCATGCTACAGAATGCTACAGAAGTAGATGATACAGAACTAGAGCTGTCACACATTGTCGATCTATAGGGATGTGTGACAATGTATTGCTTGCACTTTACTCTGTGGGATGTTAGGATGAATTTCATCCCATTCACGTATTTACTGTCTAAATATCCACTGTAGAATTAATACCCCAGCTGGGAACCGCAATCAGAATTTCAACAGGAGTGCTCTGTGTGCCACAGAAGGGGATTCAGGTGTACAATATCCCTTGGTGTGCCGTGCCAAATGGTGCCAACACCAACACTTGGCTCTCAGCTCTTCAGGATCCATGGGAATCCATCCATTCATATACTAACCGCTTCATCCAATTCAGGGGAGTTGGAGCCTATCCCATTAAGGAAGGTGCAAGGTGGAGTGCACCCAGGATGGGATGCCAGTCGATCACAGGGCACACACAGACACAGGGACACCTTGGAGTTTCAAGTTGGGGAATATGGGATTCTGGGAAAGGGGACATTGAACTCGTAGTTTCCCCGTGCACGGCTTGATTCGACAGTTACATGGAAAGTAGTGAGGTTTTCTCATAGAGACCTGGAACAGGTGCACGACTGAAATGCTTCTAAAGCAGAAGAGCATGTGAGAACTGCTGAGCCTAGAGAAAGCCGGGCAGGCAGTGTCAGGTGGATTTTCACATCTCTCTGCTCCTCTGCTCTCTCTGCTCCTGAGCGAACTTGGCCTCCTGAAAGCTACCGTAACAACTTGGACAGTGGAATCCATACACATTAAAGTACTGCAGAAAAATACTGTACAGGCATCCAATTAAAATCGTTCAGGATGATTCCTTTTTTCTGAAGCAGGACACTGGTAGGTTAATTACTTTCTAGAAACCTGGCCCTGGTGTGAGTGTACAGTGTGTCACGTGGACTGGGGTCTCATCCAGAATGTATTGTGCCTTGTGCCTGTTACATGCTGGGATAGCCTATTACGTGCTGGCTCGCATGACATTGAATTGGAAGAAAAGGTTAGAAAATGGATGGATGGACAGGTAATGACAGGACCCATAATCTTTTAGATTTATGGTGAAAAAAACGCATGAAATTAAGGTTTGGTCACACTTTCTGGTAAATGAGATAAGCTTGATTGGGGGTTGGTGATGGGTCTTGCATGTGTCAGCGGTGTCTGAGAGAGTGCCTCCTCTCTCACCCTTTCGCCATCTCTCTCAGGTGTGTCCGGACTGGGCGGGGCCGGGCAGGGACAGTCGAAAGGCAAGAGGTCAGTGACGGTAGTGAAGACATACATATCGCCATGGGAACGGGCTATGAAAGGCAATGAGGAGCTGACAGCGACGATGAAGCTCAGCATGCCAGGCCCCGTCACCCATCAAGATTTGCCAGAGTACAAGTGCTTTAACAGGTACACACTGCCGTCCCCCTCAGGACAAATGCTGAACAGCAGTGTAGCAGATTCCTCATGCGTTGCTCCAGGATTCACCTGGAACAGCTAATTATCATACCGTTTAGCTTTTGGGACCTCTCGAGCTCCAGCACGCTTGCAGTGACGATGGTGAGAGTCTTTACTCAAAGCTTAATCTCCTGTGAGAACAGAAGGACAGTTGCAAACAAAACAAGGCCAGTCGGCCCATCCAGACTGTTTGGTAGTTAGTAGTTAATTGATCTAAGGATCTCATTCAGCTGTTTCCTAAATTAAGCCAGGGTATTATCTTCAGCAACGTGGCTGGGTAGTTTGTTCCACACTCCCACCACCCTTTGTGTAAAGCATGACACTTTATCTTTCTGGGGCTGCCGGATTGTGTTTCTGGGGGGCGCCTGTGTCACCTGTAACCCCTCTCTGTGACGCCCCAGGACTGCCATGCCCTTTGGGGGGTACGAGAAGGCCTCCAAGCTGATGACGTTCCAGCTGCCTGAGATTGACACGACCCCTGAGGAGCCCGAGCCAGCGGTGTACCAACACGACATTACCGCACGCCCCTCCTTCAACCGTACGCCCATTGGCTGGGTGTGCAGCGGTGAGCCCAGCCACGTCACTCTGGAGCTGGACACCATGCCCTTCGATGGGGAGACCGATGACCTCTGAACCCGCTCCCCTCGGCTTCCGGACACACCCAATGCCACGACCACCCACGCCACCACTCCCACAGACGCACACACACGCTCATGCAAACACACACTCACCCAAACACACACTGATGCTCAGGTGTTTGTCTATCTGTCTTTTTGGGGACTTTCAATGAATCCCATTCAAAGTTTAATTACTATTTTCTTCTCTGCCAAACAATAATGCAATATGGGGTGGCTTACATAGTTTCAGGACTTTGAGATTTAAAAGAAGTCACTAGGCTTATAAAACAACTCATTCATGTTGGAAGGATATCCCCACATTGTATGTTTGTCAGGAGTAGCTATTCTGGCGTACGTTTTTTCAAATTTGTCCAAATGTTGAAAAGATAAGATGTTCACACACACCTAAATAGTGATAGTTCACTCTTTATTTCAGTCAGGAACCAGTGCACAGAGCTCCAATCCATGAAAATGAGCACCTCTTCCTGAAAGCAGAGGCATGGTCTCATTGTACTTCCACACTTGTGAATTCAAATGACAGTCTTCTGCTTGAGTGTCTATGTCAGGCCCTGCATGATGCACAAGACCAAGCGACCAGATACTGCTGTGTTTGTGTCTGCTCTGCTTTGTGCTTGGTGTTGTGTCACAGCTGTATTATCTCTATGTTAATGGAAGCCGTTGTCAAATGGCACAGCTTGATGTATGGCACAAATGTTCATTGGTGTCATTTTATTCGAAAGACTGTTCAAGGCACCCACCCAGCTCTCTAATACTCCCCAAACACACACACACATCTAGAAATCATGATGAGCTTTGTCTAGGACTTTTTCCCTTGAGCTATCATATTGTAGAAGAGAGTAGAGCAATGAAAATGATTGAGATGACAATGCCGATAAGCCTAGATATGAGAACGAGTGCGGTGTGCTTTTCTTCTGTACAGTTGCTGTTGTGTTGGTGCCGCTCTGTAGCAGTGGAGCTCTGCTGTGTTTGAGTGACACTTCGCCTCCTTCTTACCTCAGGGGTTCAGAGCACCGGACACATCTGGTTTTCTTTCTTTTAATTCCCCATTAAATGCTACAAACCTTTTCAAATGTGTCCTCTCTATCTTTAAGTCTGGGTTTCATGGGTTGGAAGAAAGGGGTGCGAAATCTCCTGTTATGCAGGAAGACTGGAAAAGCAGATGGTGTAAAAAATAAGGGAACTGGAGCACTCAGAGACTTTTCATTTCAGTGTTTCATCTGAAAGTGCACCAGCCAAACTAGCTTATTTGTGTCCATTAAACAGCTCCACATCCCTTCCCTTGGAGGTGAAGGATTTTTTTTCCATTTCCTAGCCAGTGGATTATGAAAACACACACGGAGATTTGGAAAAGGGAAAGGCCATACTGTTATGAATATTCAGTATGGAATATTTGCATTATATTTGTCAGTACTAGGCAACTTACTGTATGATTTTCGACATTTCTATTTTATATATTTTGGTTTGGCAGAAATCCGTAAATGCTGCTTCATACTTTATATTTTTACATGCTTTTATCGGGATTCAGTATGTTTTACTCTACTTTTAGTATAAGGAAGCCTTTAAAAAATTCATAGATGGACTCAAACAAATGATTAACTTGGCAGCTAGTTCAACACCTCACTGAAGCACACAACCTGAGGAGTGATCCCATGTTTAGCAGATTGCTGACTGTGAAATATCCCCTTAACAAGACACACTCATTGCTCATTGTTCTCAGCCTTGCTCTTATTTGAAAGCGATGCTGAGTCAGGACAAAGTAGATAATAATAGGAAAAGCATTGGGGGGTGATTTATTTCATTTCAGAGGCTGTAATTTAAATGTGTTGACCTTAATATATAATCCTCAGATGTATTTTTAACGGATGTTTAAGTTTCTACATTATCAGAGAAAGAGTCAAAAAAAGTTCTACATATTATTCAAAAGACAACAATGACTTGTGTTGGGGGCAACAGGTCTGAATGGTTTGGGGGTGACAGGTCTGGTGCTGGTGTAGGGGTTGCTGTCTTACTTGACAAATCTCTACTTTTAGCGTGGATCCAGAGAACTGTTCTCGTTGATTTAAATGTTGATTTAAAGGTAAAGGAAGCTTAATTTAAAGGTTTTGTACAACCTTAAAAGCAATAATGGCATTCAACTAAATCTTCCAAAATACCTTAACTTCTCACTTTCCCAGAACTTCTCCCAGAAGCTTAGAGCCTTACTATTCAACAACCACCACTATTACCATGAGACACCATTTATACGTACTGTAAGTAAACCCTCTAATTACACCAATGTGAGAATTTGCATTCCAAACCATTACTCAAAAATACAATGTGACTAGCTTACACTAGGTGAAACTACAGTACTGAAGTGTTTGAGGCTCTCTTTGGCGGCTGCTAGTGGCGCCAATTGGTTACTGCAGTCTTTCCATGGCACTACCTGACAGACTGTGCTGGTGTGGCCACTGTCGTTACATGTCTTAAACAGGGGGGATTGGCTGGTGATGGGCTAAGATGCTAGAGTTCTTCCAAAAACAGTGAATCTCATGAACTTTCAAGCGGCTACCAATAAAACCAATGCCACAAACTTGTTGCCTCTGAATGCAACGATGTCATAAACCCTCTTGTCAGAAAAGACCAGCTGTAAGGTTTAAATGGAGGGACAGCCAAACCACAACAGGCTTGTAGGACTGGCAGACAGATCCATCCATCCATTTTCTAACTGCTTCATCCAGTTCAGGGTTACGAGGGAGCTGGATCCCAGCAAGCAATGGAGACAAAGCAGAGCATATCCTGAACAGGGAGCTAGTCAATCACAGGGCAGACAGACACAAACACACACACTCACTCACTCACTCACTCACTCACTCACTCCAGTGCCAGTTTTCCCAGAAGCCAGTTAACCTACAGTACCAGCTCGCCTTTCGACTGTGGAAGGAAAGCCGAGCACCCAGAGAAAACACACACAAACACGGGAAAACATACAAACTCCACACAGACAGCACCCCAGGGCTGAAATTCATCCCAGGACCCTAGTGCTGCAAGGTAGCAATGCGCTAACTACTGTGCTCCTCTGCTACCACGTCAGCAGAACTCCTCTAAATAAAATTAGTAATGACTGAATTGATTTGACTCAGGTAGTTTGGTGGGAATTAAATTAGGATTGTGAAAGATAAGAATTTAAAGGAGCCGTATCATCTGGAGAAAACCGGAGTTCTGTCAAAAGCCACATCAGAAGATACTTATCATGATCACGGCATTTAATTGAGCAGCCGCAAGACTGTTCTCTCCGCGCCCAGCCTAGAGTGACACTGATCTGTCTGCTAGAGGGCTTTATCGCACTCGCTGGCAAATTACCACCCGCCTGCGGGATTCCAAATTCATCAGCATCGGACTTCTAAATTTAACACGCTTCTGTGTTAAATCAGAGCGGCACCTCACCCAGGCTCAGAATACGAACCCTGAAACGGTTCCCCTCACCGTGCAGATATAGAGGACTCCCCAGTATTGTCCCACTTCGGCCTTCGGCTGTAGTAGCGCAAACATTTGTTTTATTGAAATCATGAAGATCTTGTTGGTGGCTGAGGTGCACGTTTTCAGGGCTGTGCGTCAGCTGTACGATGCTGTTACAGAAAGCCGCCTTGTAAAGTCTGTGCTGAACCTGCCCACTAGAGGACGCTAAGGGACACTATGGACCAGAACCACAGTTACTACAGCTCAGGTTCCACACGTTGGGTTGCGTCTAAGCCTCTTCCCGATCATCAACACAGAAACAGAAAAGTATAGGAGGATCCATAAAGGCAGTTTTTAAATTTCACTAGCTCCCTCTCAACTGTTATGATCTTAATGGGAGCTGTGTAAAGTATTTTTGACATTATTAAATTATAGCATAGAAAACCTATTTACTGTATATGTGTAGCTCAATATAACGATTTGTACATCAAAACAGCCCAATGAACTGACTTTTGATGTCCTTTATTTCATCTCGATACTGAATATTTTAGGGCCTTCTGTGAAAATGGGTAATGTAAACTAAGACATGTTATTACTATAAGTTTTATTCCTACTTTTCATTCTTAAGTCATGCCTGCCTAAGTAGTAATAAAAGGAACTCTGAGATGATAAACTGAATTATTTATTTTTATAATAATTTGGAGCATGCACAAAATACTCATAACTATTAGTAGAGTATTAGTAGTATACTCATAACTACCTTAAAGCGCTTTGAGTGGAGTGTCCAGAAAAGCGCTATATAAGTGTAAGCAATTATTATTATTAGTGTAGAATGACCTGCTTATTCTCCATTTCAAAACACATTCCTGCACAACTTAATATGGTTTGAAAAGACATTGTAGCAATCTCAGGTTTGTGCAGAAAAAAAGAACCAGACAAGACTCTAGTTTGACACACAAGCACCTTTTATTAAACCTCCATCAACCTGCTATGCACAACAGAGACAAACTTGATCTCAGGGTTGTTACATATACCAGGGAGGTAAACGGGACACGTACACAGATTCAGGGTGGTTACACATTGAAGGACAACAGACAATAACACAGGTAAACACTAAACTGCTGTTTATACAAATGTGGGATTATTTACATTGCTCATTGCTCTCATGCACCATCCCCTGGCTATAACTCCCAGCCTGCCCTGCGGCACATGCACTACCTGGGTGATCCTCCTCCTCATCACCTGACGAGGGTGCTACACTGCCCTGACCTGCAGCATGCGGTGTCCTACCAATGTCGAACAAACCCCGTAGGCTATATTCGCACTCCACAAGCTGCTGGGGAACCCTGTGTGACCGCCCACTGTGATGTGGTGATGGCTGGCGACCCGTCACCGCTGGGCAGTTCTGGCCCTGGGCACCTCTGCCCTAGCCTGATAGGGTGCCACGCAGTCCCAGTGCAGGACCACCACCCTCCCCCACTTTCACAACCAGACCTGGTAGGAGACCTCACCCACCAACCCCGGACCTGGCTGGGCCCCTCCCATGATGACACCATCTTAGGGCTGAGGCCTTTTCTGCGGCACTGTTTATAGACCCCAACCAGGTCCCCAGGCCCGTAGGCAGGCCCCCTGCAGTGCAGGTCGTAGTACTATATATTATATTGAGCTACACATATATGCTTCTACTAGACTCCCGCCTGTCGGGTGGGTCCGGGCAAAGCTGTGTACCTGACGCATTTGCTGCCGGTGGTCCTACTCATTGTCTGGTCTGGCCGGCGGTACCGGCTCGTCCCCAGGTGGAGAACCGAAGGCCAGGTCCACCAGGGTACAGTGTCTGGAGGTTTGGCAGGGCCTGGTCGAAGCTCGCAGCAGGGACAATCGTCCAGGTAGACAATGCACTGGCTCCTCGGGATCGACGCCAGCATCTGCTCCATCAGCCGCTTGAAGGTCGCCGGGGCGTTGCACAGCCTGCACGGCATGACAGTGAACTGCCAGAGGCCTCGGCTGATGGAAAAGGCCGTCTTCAGGCGAGCGTCGGGAGCGAGCGATACCTGCGAGCAGCCGTAGTGGAGGTCGAGGGAGTTAAACCAGGTCGACCCGGTGATGTAGTCCAGGGCGTCTATCCTCAGCAGGGGATAGGAGTGCTTCCGGGTGACCCCATTCAGCTATCGGTAATTGACACAGAACCTCCATGAGCCGCCCTTCTTCTGGACCAACATGACCGGGGCAGACCACGGGCTTGCGGAGGGCTCGATCACCCCTGCTGCGGCCACCTCCCTGATCTTCTCCTTGGCCGCGCTCTGCTTGGCGTGAGCCATGCGTTCTGGCGGGATGCAGATGGGCCGAGCGGTGCATGGCCAGATGGGTGTGGGCACTTCGGCTCAGCAAAAACCCTATGGTATTTCTATAGGGGGCTCTGTCACCAGGACGTTGAGCAGAAGAGTCCCCATGAGCACTCTTGAGTCCCTCTCCTGCAATATCAAATGAGGAAGGAGCTGCACAGCAACTATGGCGCAACTTTGAGTCCCAGGTTTTCGCCAGGGTGTGCCAGAGCCTGGGGATCAACAATAGGTGGACCACTCTGCAGCATCCCCGGAGCGATGGGTTAGTGGAGCGCTTTAACCAACTGCTTTCCACCCATCTGGCCACCCTGGTCTCCCAGTACCAGCAGGACTGTGACTACCACCTCCCCCTCACACTGTGAGCATACCAGACTGCGGTCCGGGAGTCTACAGGGTGCACTCCAGCTTCCCTGATGCTGGGGAAGGAAATGGCCTGGACCTGGCTCTCTGTTTTCTACTCAGACTATGAGTGGGATCTGCAGCAGCAAAGGCATTAAACACACAGCTTTGCTGGGACCCACCTGGCACAGGCAGGAGCAAAAACAGCACTATGGGCTGTACTACAGGGGGTCTACCTACCGGCCTGAGAATCTGGTTTAAGTCTACCACCCATTCTGCCACAACTCACACTCAGTGATGACACATACACTAGGGTGATAAATGGAACACAAAGGCAGTGTCAGAGTGGTTACACATTAAGGGACAATAACAGAGAATAATACAGGCAAACACTAAACTGCAGTTTACACAATGCGATTGGGATTATTTACATGAGCAGAATGACCTAGTGGTCACTCTCACGCACCATCCCCAGGCCCCTGGTGCCATAACTCCCAGCCTGCCCGGCGGCGCATGCACGACCCGGGTGCACCCCGCCGCATCACCCGAGGAGGAGGTGTTATGTATGTTACGTATTTTTAAAATAATTTTCGTGTGCATTTTTTCTAAAATTATTCCTCATATAGCATTGAAACGGTACAAATTTAAAACAGATGCTCAATGTTTCAGACTTTGAAGGAATGTGCGAGTTTGGGACAGAAGGATTACAGTTATGTATCAGTTGAAAATGGCCCAAAGCACAGATTTATCCCACAAGTGAGTAAATTTCGACTCTGGGGAAACTTCAGCTGTAACATTCTCAGAGATCTGCAACCAGAGAGTCCATTTCAGGGGGTCAGCCAGACAACCAGTGGGGGTCAAGAGAGAACTTTTCATCCCAAGCAGCGCCTGAGATTCACCATCTCACAGGGGCGTCAAGTCATGCTCGATACTGCAGTCGGCAGGATTGTTTACAGGAAGTACACACTTCAATTGTAATAGGATTAAACCACATCCTTATTCAGAGTAATGTCTTTAAAAGCCGTCTTCCATCAAGAAATGGCTGCAAACCCTTGGATTTCATATTTCACTACGCACCCTGATTTGTTACATTACAGTACAGGCGTTTTGACTAGAGACTCCCCCGCTCCAAATGATATTGCTACTTTCTGGAACCACGATATACAGTACAGTACACCGCCACTTATGACGGAGCGAGGGGCTGCGTGTGAGATACACCGATCTCACACACAGCATCGCTCACGCTTTAGACCGGAGGGAGTAACTCACGCGCAGCACCTCTCTCTCTCCCGGGCCCGGGCGCGCAGATCTCGCGAGAGGCGGTTGCCTTGGCTGCAGCGCTGGGTGAAGCTGGCGGGTGAGGGCTGCGCGGCGGTGATTATTGCACCCGAGTCCTTTCGGGCAGCGGGGGGTCGGCAGTGCGCGGGGGCTCCAGCGCGAGTGCGAGGTGAGTACGGAGGCTCTTCTTAGCCCGCTTAACTACGACGAAACGAACCAGAGAGCTGGGGGAGGCTCTGTTTTGGCTAGACTTACGAATGTCATGCTAGGACGAACATCAGCACAGTGGGATAAACTGTGGGACAAGTGCACGGGAGACAGACTGAGAATGACATTAGCGCCTGATGCCTGTGCCACTGGCGTCTGAAGATGCTGTGTGAGCGAGTGAGCGCTACGCAGTAAGTATCAGCGAGTTAAAGCTATCAACGATTGCCCGCTTCCATCTGTGGGTAACCCACATGCAGCGCCAGTCCCGATAGACGGCTATCTAGTTTAGCTTGGCTTTAAAGATTAAGCCAAACATCGGAATAATAGGTGTCAAATGTGTAATTAAGCGATTTTTTCTTACAGGTTAATTTAGAAATTAAATAATATGCATCATTGCGAGACTTAATGCGTGCTCTCAGGACTAGTCTTATTTCTATATATTTACCCAGAGAATGTGTGTTTCGCTGCAGTTAGGAATAGGGATTTTTTGATTGCATGGACAGTTGTCGGCCTGTGGAGTATCCTGGGTCTTGCTGGGGGTTTATGGCGTAGTCCTTTGCTGTAGTTGATGAAACTGCGCACCGCATGGCTGTCCTGCGTCCCGTGCCCCGCCGCGCGCTGCGTGTTTCGCCGTGACACGACTGTATCTCCGTAGGATCGGGGTGATCGGGGGTGCTGACCAGCAGTGACGCCGCTGAACGGACAGTGGCTCGACTCCTCCTGTGTTTGTAATAGCTGGGATGTAAACACTCATTTGTGCTGATGGGCTGACGTCAGCGGTCCACCCCTTCACTTCATAAATTAAACTTTGTCTTCGGACGTACGTTCCTTAAACAACCATAAATGTGCGTTCATCCTGAGGGAAATCGATAACGGTTTCTGATACACGGTTATTCCCGGTAATGAGCAAGAACTGCCTTTTGCTGTGTTTCGGCCTGACACTGCTCCTGACTGTAAGGATGATACTGGCCCAGTACTGTACTTGAGCTGCTGACGTATTTAAGAACTGTTCTGCTCTGCTAGTACTCTATAAAGCTAATTCCCTTGACCGTATTATTGCAATGCTTTTGTTTTACGACACGCGGGATTGGATTTCGTCTTTTACAGAGTTTTCAAAACTTTCCGGATTGATAAAACAGCCACATCTGCAAACAAATACACTACTGACTTTTTAAGCTTCGTGGATCCGCTTTCTCTGCCCTCATATAAAAAAATACGATTAGGCAAAATAAAGTCAGTCTCGTTAGTAGCTTTGTAATCTTTGTTAAAACAGATCGCCCAGTGTCCGCTTGCCTGTGGCTGCGGGCTGGAGCCTCAGAAACGACGAGTCAAGAACGTGCGGTGTCACGAGGTTTGCTATGGCAACTGTGGGACTAACGGCGGTGCCTCGTAGGCTGCAGGAGAGTGACGGGTCGTTTTACCTTTTTAAATTACTGCGACCTGCTTGGTTGGCTGTTGTACTAAATAAACAAGCGAAACAATTCCCGAGTAGTTTCCAAAATAATTCCTTTGTTTTGTTTACTGTGTTTCTTTTAATCGAGTTCGTGCGGTTAAATGCTGATTTGAGTCAGCCATGAGTTATACATACTGTAGTTAACCGTTGTACGAGATGCTGCGGCACTTTGCTGTTTAATTGTTTTACAATATTTCTGGTGTGTGCCTTTTATTGTGTGGCGATTGTGTATAATTTGTTTCGCTGATATGGAGCTCAAAAGTAATGCATTTAAAATGAGAGTAGGACTAGGATGTCATAATGAAGACTGAATAATTGCCTCTGCATATACAGCTTTTCATTTTAAGGATCCCAAAGTGCTTTACGTTTAGAAAGGGACCCTAATTATTCCCCAGCTTCAGTGCAGCCCGACCTGGGTGACACACAGCAGCCCCACTACACAGCAGATCAGGGAGAGAGAGAGACTGGGGAATGGGAGCCTGCTTTACCATCTGAATTAAGGGGCATCTTTAGAGAGGCTGGATTGTATAACTCCAGGGTGGATTATAGCCAGCACACTGAGATTAACACCCCAACTCTTATGAACAAAGTGCTCTTGTAAACATTCACCATGGCAAAAGTGGTTGATAATTTGTAGGTCATACTATGTTTTTCTCAATATGGTATTTGTTTCTCTTGTGTTAGTGTCCTTTTCCCCTGTGCTGTTTTGCACATTGCTGTGCTTTAACCAGGGGACATGCCGTAACTGTTGATAACGGTATCTCCTCCTGACCTGGCCTACTGTATCAGTGCGGCAGAGCCACAAAACAGGCCTTGTCTTCATATTCACAGGGATTCCTGCTTGGAGGAGAGCAGGGTGTCAGCATGTGAGATAGGAACCGTGAGCCTGGCAATTTGGAAACCTTCCTCTGGACTTTATTGTTTGGTACAAGCTGCACTTGTTACATAATGTGATTCTGAAGCTGCAGTTAAGCCCCTTTACTACTGTATGTCAGTTATAGATTTTTCTAACATGGATGGAAGGCTGATTGCCCAGCCTGCTCTGTGAAATAGATGTGACTGAGCTTGAGCAAACGCCTGTCCTGCTGGACAACTGGGGCCCTTGTGCACTATGTCAGACAACGTCACACTCTCCTTGGTATTGTGCCGCAGTCTCCAGATTCAGCGGTCGTTGTGCCTCTGTGTCATGGCGGCTGTCCCCTCCCACTGCCCACTGTGCTTTCCTTCAGCCTGTGACTGCGGCCATTCTGGTAAAGTACTGGGCGGGTCCGAGGCAGAGCCTGTGCATGAGTGCCTTTCCTCTCTCGTTGTCGAGCTGCAGCACGGAGCAGGGTGCTGGGCGCAGGGCGCAGGAGTGGGGGGGGCGACGCCAGGTGAGCAGCCAGATTGTTCTGTACAAGGCTGGGCTGAGTAAATTGCCATGTTGCTAGGCACCTCAGCTCAGGCTCTAGCCTGGCGCTGTTAGAGAGAGGCTGGCCAGGAGGGGAGGGCAGCGAGGGGGCGAGCTCTCTGTGAAGAAAACATCTGTCCGTGGGACATGACTCCACGAGCCTGCTGAGCACTGATTGTGGGGTAAATGTGTTTCCAAAGTTCTCTGTCAATGGTGATTGGACAATAAGCCCCCTGGATTATGGACGAGAGCTCTTGTCTGCAGGTGTGTCAGCTTCAGTGGAGGTTGTCATTCTCATTCCAGATGTTTGCTTGTCTCCTCCCCCCTTCCCACTCAACCCAGGTACATGAAACTATTATTTGACTATTTAGTCCAGTTAGATGTACCCCAGCTAAGGTCATTCATGATTAAAATGTGAAAAACCCCGGCATGATTCTGTATTGATCATTCAGTTCCTCACAGGAAAAAAAGAAAGAAAAGGATTCACTAACCGAGAGAGGGAAGAAAAATCTGATAATGTGAAGTCTTTTAAAGTGTCTCGAATTAAATGCTAAGCTTTTATTTAGAAAAGTAGTTTTCACTTCATAGTTCGGACTAATTTGGGATTGTCTTTCACTTACAGGCTGAAGGAACTGAACCCTTTTAGTCTCCAACAGAAGAAAACTATGAGCACATATGTGGAAACTACGTGAAAGTGCATTTAAAACCGAGATTTGGTAGGAATTCTTTACACAAAGGGTTGTGGAAGTATGGAACAAACTAGCCAGCCATGGTACTGAAGATGATACCATGGCTTATTTTAAGAATGTGTTGATGAGGTTGTCTGATCAATAAGTTACTAATAATCAAACAAGCTCAGTGTAATATTTATGCTGAAATGTAAGGCTAACTGGCCTGATAGTATTCTCTGAAGAGTGTTTTGCCCTTTGTATCATATCCATGTCAATTTCAAAGAGGCGGAGGGGAAGAATTCTGGGATGTGTGGGAGTGCACACTCTGTTCCTTCCATTGCTGGCAGGATGTGTTCGAAGCTGCACTCAGAGAAAGCTGGCACATGACTGTCGTATTAATTACCTGCACAGTGATTCGCTCAGATCACAGTGACTCACCGGTCCTGTGCCACATCTCCTTTACCCTTTGAAAGGGCTGTTTATATTCAGATGGACCATATTTTCAATGCCAAGTTATGGCATTCTGCAAACTTACATAGTCTGCAAATTCCTTTTCAGTGACTGTAAAATGTGTGTAATTCATGTGGATGTGTTTCTGTTTTGACCCCTTGTTGTATTCTTTTCTCTGTCTGCGTATTTGGACAGTTTTGATTACATGTTATGTTATTACACTGTTATTGTTATTGTGTTACTGTCTATTGTCTTATCTTCTGTTCTATTTATATACTGCACTGAGTGACTAATGAAAAACACTTTTCACTATAATATGCACCTGTGTAAGTATAATGACAAGTTGAATTAAGAAGCCTTGAGAAGAAACCCCTATTTAAAAAAAGGAGAATGTGTCAACGTGACACCTCCCATTTCGAGTCTATTACCCACCACTGTGAAACAGGTAGATGTTTTGGGTGCCAGAGTTTTGCCCCAGTTGTCACATAAATTGTGAGATGGGTTCAGACAAAGGTGAGATGGCACCTCGGCCAGGCACTCTGTCTCCTGTTGGCCTGGCGCAGGAACTGAACGTTTCTGTAAGACAATGCTAACTCAAATAAACCACACTGTGAGACAGGGCTTCCTGAGATACAAGTCTCGCTGTTCTCTGTTCACACATCAAAGCTGGGGTCAGATTAGTTTTTTTTTTCATTTTTTCATTTTCAGATTTCCACGGCCCAAACAATCCAATGCTGAGAAAATGCAGATTAGCTGCAGCTGGCTGTGTTAAGCATGATCATGCCTATTATTTGTAATACAAATAAGTTAGCAAGAAAAGGGCCCTGAGCTTTTCCGTCTTGAAATGTGGGAGACGGTGACTGCAGTGTGGCAGAGCCCTGGCAGAACTGCTCTAATCAGACACAGGCCAGGCTGGAGGACTCTACACTGTGGGGGTGCCACAGACCTGCTGTACAGAACCTCTTTTCCCTTTGAAACCTTTAATAGACTGTGCAAAGGAAAATGTTTATGCAGGTTATAGGTCTCTATATTTGGGACTATAAAAGACGGAGCATGTGAATATTTGGTATATTGTGGTAAAGTACTTTTGGCTGTAACTCTTGACGATTTCCTGTGTTTTCCCTTGCCATGGCCTTGCAGCGTGTACCGCCGTTCCTTGCTTTCCCTGGATATCCAGGGCTCTGCGGGGCTCCTCCCATGGTGGATCTCTGGGTTTGTGTGAAAGAGGGGTTACCTAGCTGTTACGTTGCAGGGTTCCATTAATCACTGGCTTGATTACAGGCACCAGTCCTGCCCCACTGGGGAGGAGGGAGTACCCGTGTCCCACCCACCCCCTTCAGTTGTGTTAACAGTGGGACCAGCCTGTCCTGGGATAGAGAGGTGAGGTAAGAATCACTGTTAATTTATAAGGGTGAGGAGATCTGTGGGTGTAGCGGTGGGTTTTAATAACCTTGGTCTGACCCAGTAATTTACTCAGATAAGGTGGAGCCACTGGCTCTGCAAACGTCTCTGCTCCTGCCAGGTTCTCATCCACATCCTTGCATAATACACCAGCAGTCCTACCTTGCTCTTGGCTGTTCCCTTCTGCTCTCAGAAGCTCAGCATGCCCAGGCAGTCCTGGGCTGCTGCTGCAAGTGATGATGTTAGACTAGTAGGTGGCCCTCTTCCTTCTGGACCAGTATTTCATAACCAATGCCCTAGTGTGGTGACAGGGTACACTGTGCTGTCCTGTGAAGACATTAAACTGCAGTCCTGAGTACTTGGTCATTAAAGATCACTTGGTACTTTTTGAAAGAGGAGGGTTCTTAACACCAGTGTCAGCCAGGCTAAATTCCACTTTCGGCTTTCACAATCTGGCCGCCCTAAAGCAGTCAGTGAAGCAGTTTCTCACCTGCCCACCTGATGTGTACAGTGGGGCTGCAGTCTGTCACCCAGGTGGGTGCTGGACTTCAGTGTTGGATGAACTGGGTTCCCTCTAACATGTAAAATTGTCTTAAAGTAAAAGCAATATATTAACTCAAGGAATTGTATTTGACTTGTAAACCCATCTGTTAGATTTGTACTTTACAGCTCTTTTTGAGGTGAGGCTTTTTTATTGAAGAGAGTTATGAATGAGATCATTATGACAGACTCTCCTGCTGCACTGTACAGTACTGCTTATGACTGCTATCATATAGTCTATAAACATGCCTCCTGCCATATGGAAATCTTCCCCAGTGGTGAGTTTGCATGTGAATGTTGTACTTTTTCCTCTACATTTGACACCAGCTGCCTTTTGTGTGCTTCACTGCACCAGATTATGATAACAGCACAATATTCCTTGTTTTTGTCTTGGAGCTGTGCGGTGTTGCTGCTATCCACATGCTAGATCATATTTTTACCACAGTCCAGCACAGCAAAATGCAGAAAAGGCAGGGTAAACTGATAGGAAAACTGTATCCAAAGCCAGGAAAATATGTAGCTATTGGCAGGGGAAAAAAACTAAACTGACATCCTGGGAGGTGTATTTGAGATAAACACTTATCTAACTTACCTGACCCCTTTTCTGGCAGATTTTGGGGGCTCCCTCCAGTGTCTCTGGCTCCCCTGGGGGGTAAGAGGACTCTTTGGTCAAAAAAGTTGAATTTTCTAAATTTGTGCCTAAAGGTGGGAAAAGAGCAAGGGTTTTAAATGTAAAAAGATCCCCTGTAGATATTCTTGCTGTGAGTCCATGTTTGTGAGTTAATTTGTATACCTTTATGGTGGCCTAGAGAATTACAAAGACCAAGAAGGAAATTGGTAGACCACAGACAGAATGACAGATGACAGTATCAACACCATGTCATGTTCGGAACAGTAATCCCCAGTGCCGAATGACGCCCAGTGACATTAGGAATCTCTGTGGATGGTGTAGTAGGAGCAGGATTCTGACAAGCCTGTATGATGGTTGTGTTTTTGCATTTGTTGTGTCTTGAATATTTAAACACCAGGAAGGTATGACAGTCTCATCCCCTCTGGTGCACAGCAGAGATTTTCAATCATGCAAAAACAGCATACTGGGTAATCCTGCGCTAAGCAGGTCATGTGCTTTATTAAACATTTCAGTCCCAAATTAAAAGGAAAACTGCTTGCAGCTGTTGGCACTCTGAGGCACTAGTCAGAAATGTGGAAAGCTTGTGTGACACTGGGTGCAGAGCACAGTTTCATCCTTCTTTGACAAAAGTGATTGACCACCTCCTCTTGCTGTTATGCTGTTATGCCTCTTGAGAAACATATGCGAAATGTGATATGTAGACATATGCAGACTGCTTAGTTAGGTTTTATAGTAAATGGAGGACAAGCTACTTTGATACTACAGAGATTGCCACTGGGTGGCTTGGTTGCGCAGTGGTTAGCATTGCTGCCTTGCAGCGCTGGTGTCCTTGGGTTTAATTTCTGGTGCGCTATCTGCATGGTGTTTGTATGTTCTCCCTGTGTTCACGTGGGTTTCCTCTGGTACTCCTATTTCCTCCTACAGTTCAAAGACATACTAGTAGGTTAATTGGCTTGTGAGAAAATTGGGCCTGGTGTGAGCATGTACGTGTTTGTGTCTGCGTGTGCCCTGCGATGGACTGACATCCCATCCGCCAGTTGCTTGCTGGGATTGTCTCTGGCTCCCCTGCGACCTTGAACGGGAAGAAGCAGTTAGAAAATGGATGGATACAGATTGCCACCTCTTCTGTTTGTTCTGGTTGATCGTCTATGACTTAACGCAGTTTGATCCATTTCAGCTTTGTGAGCTATTGTGTAGGCTATTGAATTGTGGATGGATATTTCAGCTCAAATTTTATTAAATCTATGTGCCATTACAATGTGAGTCTTGTTCATGTCCCCATGTGTCTGCAAAGAGAAGGACATATTTTCTAGATCAGTTTGTTTTGTGGTGTGAAAACCAAATATACAGGATGCAAGCAGCACGTGGTAGGAGAAAAAAGAGCATAAGATGGGTAACAAAGGAGAGAGGCCCATTGGTCCATCTGGCCCATTTTCCAGGATCTCAATCAGCTGTTTCTTGAAGAAGCCAGAGTATTGGAGTCTACAACATGGTGGCTGGGCAGCATAAACTTGTTCCACAATCCCACAACTCTTTATGTAAAGAACTATCTCTTATTCTTGGTTTTAAATGCACTTCCATGTAGTTTTCTTTTGTATACACTGGTTTGTTTTTCACTGTTCATTCTGAATAAGTCTGTGGGTTTGACTTTGTCGTTGCCTTTGAGAATTTTGAATACTTGCTTCAGGTCTCCTTAAAGTCTTCTGTGTTCAAGACTGTTTTCAGTGTAGGAGATTTCAATGAGGGATTCCAGAGCAGCAGTGTATGTTTTCTACAGTATAACATGGTCACCAAAATTGTACACAATATTCTTAATGAGGCCTAACTAGTACATGATTTACATGATTGATTTAAATTCTACACTTTTGATCATACAGCGTAACATTTTGTCTGATTGCTTCTCCGCATTGTAAACGATTTGTCAACATAATAACCCAAGTCATTTTCTTATGCAGGACTATGAAAGTGGTCCTAGTTTGTTGTAGGTAATGAGGGTGAGAACCTACTTAGTCAAGAGCCAGTGTCCTGCAGGGATCAGTCGACTCTGAGACTCTCCAAGACCTGCCTCTGCAGATGGGACCTTGGGACCCGCTCCCTTCAATCTGATGCCTCTGGTGAAGGCACATGTGCTTTTCTTAGAGAAATGTGTTGCTTGAAAGTGACAGGTCTTCTTCAGCACTTATTAACTGTGAAAAAGAGCTGCAAGCCAGCATGCTAAGGCACTTCTAATGTAGCCAACAGCCACACGGATTAAGAAGACATCCTAATTTAATACTGAAGCCTATCATTTATACTGCTCTTCTGTTGAGTGGATGGTTTAAGAGATGCCCAAGGTTTGATGAGTTGAGATTCCCTTGGACCAGTGTGGTCTGCTGGGTCTCTCTGGTTTGTGGCGTTATCAGTAGGAGTGTTGAGCTGGGAGCCCAGCGATCCCTAGCCAACCCCAGTGATGCTGAGACAATAATAATCATAGTTATTACTGGTATATAGGATTTCCCTCCTAAAGGATCCCAAAGTTCTTTACTTGTGCCCTTTTTACCCATTACACCCCCATGGACACCAGATCATGAGAAGGAGTGGGCTTCTAGCTTCTTCATCACTTCTAGCGTATCGAATTGGGTCAGAATCTCAGCAAAGGGACCTGCTCTGGTTTTTGGAACAATGTATTCAGAAAGAAAAGAGATTTAGATTTAGAGAGAAACGAGATTGATCACCAGTCTTTACCAAGCTGACCTACCCTTCCCTTTCCTCTCCTCTCTGTTTTTCTGACACAGTTTCAAGGCCTATTCTTAGCTCTCAATGATATAATGAGCCTGGCTTTTAATTAAACGGGAGAGAAAAATCCATTAGCTGATAGCATTGCTATCGCTTTGTTTTGTATTGCTTAAATTATAACAGGGATAAACAACACAATGTTTGAAATTTAACCTGTTTATGGACAATTAAATGCACACAGAATTTAACAGTTAGACCCACAGCACAGTAAACGTAGTGTATGTACATTGTATCACAGCTCACTGCCTAACCTGTCCTCTCCAGTGGAATAGCTGTGTAGGCCTCTCTTATTTTGTAATAGGAATGTGGATCTACACAAGTGAGTCAACTGAGCAGCCTTGGCACAGATATATTATACAGCACCATGCATGAAACAGAGCAGACAGAAACACAGCAGCATCGGGCTCCTGTTGTGCCGCTCTGTTTTCTTTTTGTTGTTGAACTCTCAGAGCTCTGAGCTAGGGCTTCTTCCAAAGACGGATTTTGTAAAAAACCCAACAACTTCCATCCTCATCAGGCACTTATTCTTGATAAGGGTCCAGGCTACGCTTTTATTTAGAGATGGAGACTGGAACACCTACAGTATCAACATCCCACACATATGTGGGGAGAACATGCAAACTCCACTTGGGTGGGGACCCCAGGCTGAGACCCAGGACCTATGAGCCGTTAAAACATAAGAAATGTTACAATACTAGAGTAGGCCATTTCGTACGGTAGTTAGTAGCTTATAAATAGTCAGAACTCAGCCAGCTGTTTTAAGAAAACAGTATTGGCTTCAACAACATGGCTGGGAAGCATGTTACTCCCATACCCCCACAGCCTTTTCTGTATAGAATCTTTAACCTGTTGTTTGGTCATTCTCTTCACCATATTGTGTGTAACTGCTTTTGTACATCATTGCAAAATCGTAGGTAATTTGGTATTCTCCTCAGTAAAGTGTTTTGTGGAGAACGGTAAGGCTCTTGTTGTGGCCTTACATTTTGGTACTATGTCCTTTTCTGTGTCAGAAACAATGCTTGCAGTTGAGATCTGTTT